CACCACTGAAGCCTCTTTCTTCAGCGCTTACTCAAACTGACCAAACTTCAGAGCTGTCACATCCTCCTCAATGTGCATGACTACTGGCTACCTAGAGAAGAGATATCTGCACCTTGGCATCAACCTTCATTTTTCTTTCTTTCTTTCTTTTTTTTTTTTTTTTTTTTAGGTGGAACTGAGGATTGAACTCAGGCCCTTGTGCTTGCCAGGGAAGCACTTATTCTACTGAGCTATCTCCCCAGCCCCAAACTTTCATTTTTAAGGTTGCCAGCCTTTGTTCAATATGTGAAAAACATTCTTATCTCCCAAGTCTCAGAATGGCAAAAAGACTGCATTACAATGCTTCAAACGGGTTCAGACATTTTAGGTTAAAACCATCATTGACTTCTCTTTTGTTCTTTGATTTCTAAAATCATAACACACTTGGCATGCCAATAACCAAAATGTCGTGAATGGGTTAGAAAGTTTATTAACTCCTCTTTCCCACAAGACTTAACTTACCTTCTGTTCGTGAGGTAGCAAAGAAAATACAATCAAGGGTGCTCCTCGCCTAAAGTCCTCAACCACTGAAACAGGGACTTCAGAGACATGAAGTGTGACATACCAACCAACCTGGCAGAAGGCAGTAGAAAAGAATCAGTATTCCCTAAAGTCTCAATAGTGATGCAAAATGTCTCTATGTGCACTGAAAGTCTCTCTACCCTAAAGCCAGCCTTACCTTTCAAGATTGCTTTTCATAGATACTTCAACTTCTTCAGTTTATTGCTCATGCCTCTTTGTTCCTAATATCACGCTTGTCCATGACTTAGTGGTTTCTCAAATTCAATTATGAAACACTACAAAACTAAATTAAGGCCTATAATCCCAGCACTAGAGAGGCTGAGGCAGGAGGATCGATGCAAGTTTGAGGCCAGCTTAGACTACAAAGTGAGTTCAAGGCCAGCCTGAACTGCACAGTGAAACCCTGTCTTTTTTTTTTTGGCAGAATTAGGGACTGAACTCAGGCCCTTATGCTTGCCAGGGAAGCACTTATTTTACTGAGCCATCTCCCTGGCCCCTGAAACTCTGTCTTAAAAAAACAAAAACCAAGCTGGGCATGGTGGACCACGCCTATTATCCCACCACTCAGAAAGTTGGGGCAGGAGGATCACTGCTTTGAGTATAAGACCAGCCTGTGCTACAAAGTGAGCTCAAGGCCAGTCTGAGCTGCAAAGCTAAACCCTGTCTCAAAAAGACCAAAAAAATAAAAACAAACAAACAAAAAACCCAAAGAACAAAAAACCTCCATAGGGGCTGGTGAGATGGCTCAGTGGTCTAAAGCACCTACGTAGAACAAGCTTAGCAAAGCACAGGGACCGCGGTTCAATCCCCCAGCACCACATGCCAGCCAGCCCTACCCCCTGGTGGGCTGAGCTGGCCCCCACAAATAAATAAAATAAAATTTAAAAAAAAACAAAAAACAAAAAACCTCCACAGATTAAGTACTCTCATGCCAAGAGTAAAGCATGATGTAGTAAACAGATTATAGGATAGATAAGGAAAGGCAAATACCTCAATTCCTTCATCCTCTTTTTCCGCAATCTCTTTAAAGATGCATTTCCGAGTATTAGTAAAGTTCTGAAACTGAAAAATACGAGCATAATCTCGAGGAAGGTTTTCCTTAGGATCCCATGGAGATGTCCGAAAGCTTTTGAGGCCTCTATATTTCTGAAATCTAAGATATAAGAGGTTTTAAAGAAACTAAGAGATTACGTGGTGCTACACAAGGCTTATATCATCTCTAAACTACCACTCTAGCTTAAAAGAATTCCAATCATTAGCTCAAAATAACCTAAGACCTTAAATAAAAATCACATATTGAAGGGCTGGGATATAACTCAGTGGCACAGTGCCTCTGTGGCCAAGTACAAAGTTATGGGTTTGATTCAGAGTATTTAAAAAAAAAAAAAAACCAACCCACATACTGAAACAGCTTTTAACAAGTATTTCAGAACCACACACAACCTTCTCACTGACAAAAGACAGAAAACTTACAGTGGCTCCCTCATGTGTCAAGGCGCTACTCTTTAACGTAACAAAATTCTTGGCAACAGCTTCACTCTGATAGTAGATCTAACTTTTCTGAGTTAATCAGCTTCACTTTCAGAGCAGACACAGTCATCTACATCTTCACACTTTATTTTTTGTTCTTGTACCCAAATTCCCCAAAATTCTTCAAAGGTTACACTAACAGAACATTAGATCATACAGGAAGTATTTGCTACATTAACCTTGGTAGTTCTCCTTCATTAGAGTCCTGTAACATTCATCTATTTCAGTCTAGAACATGATTATGTATGATTTTCCCATAGGCACATCACTTCCCATGTAGATGTTAGCCTTTAGGAGCAAAGACAATGTGTTTTTCTTCGTTTCCATTCCCCTGACATGGTTCTGATAAAGCTTGTTTGAATTTAAACTTGACTAACCGAATTCTAGCAGCCACATCACGGGGTGTGTCCATTTCATCTGGAAACATCTCCTCCAATCTTTCTTGTTTATACTTCTCCAACATTTTTTCCTCAGCCTCCTCATCCATTTTCTCATCATATAGATCATCATGCACAGACTCCCCTATTGTCATAGTTTCACATTCCTCCTCCTCCTCTTCACTACTTTCACACTG